CTTCTGTTCATTTATAATTAGTAAAAGTACACTTGATTTCTATCAATGGAGTCTTGTGGTTTTCTTTCCTGATTATCCAATGAAGTGCTGACACAGAGGCCCTATTTGTTTCTTTTCAACCAGGTTCCATGGGTCTGAAGGCATCCTCTTCCTCCTTTGGGAGGTGGATCAGGTCATGCATTGCAAAGGCATATTCCTCTCAGGTGCAGCCCATTCCAGATAACATCACGGCCCACTCAACATGTAGCGCGGCAGCTTCACCTGCCTGGGGCACTAGGGCACCATTACAGAAGGTGTGCAGGGCGGCAACATGATCATCTCCATCCAGTTTTATTTGACACTACAGAATTGACAGGTACGCATTGGTTGATGCGGCCTTTGGGAGGAGAGTCTTGCAGCAGGTCAGGATTGGTGTAGGGCATTCGTCCCGGACAGTTTCCCTCCTGTGATGCTGGACAAGCTATGGTATGTCCCATATAGGGATGCGTCTCCACTGAGTCAGGAAAATGTAGCATTGGCTTACCTGATACACTCATTTTCTGAAGAAGTGGAGACAGTATCCAGGCCACCCTTAGAGTCCGGGCCGTTATTCTGGGAGAGATCATTCTGTTCTAGCATGTCTGTCTGCATGTTAGTTCGTCAAAAAAGCTCGGGATCTCAGCAGGAAGAGGCAGGACTTAAACTTTGCAGACTCAGTTCTATTGGATGGTAGATGAGTATAAACCACACAAGGATGCTGTTTCCACTTCTTCAGAAAATGAGCGTATCAGGTAAGTCAACGCTACATTCATCAGTAATATGAAAAGCATTTATAGAGATACATTCTGCTAATGGTACAGAATTATCTGAACTATTAGAATGTCCAGAATGTTCTTTGTAGCATTTTGATAGGTGTTGTTTTATTGTGATCACTATGGATTTTGGTCTCAATCTCATTAAAGATATAAACTGGGTTGATCATTCCCAGTATAAGAAGTAATGTATCTTAACAGTGGACAGTAATTGACTGACTGGATAGACTGGGCTAAAAAACTAAGTAAGGTTGGGCATTATTAGGACTTGGATTGAAAATCTCCATGGGTTATCAGAACTGTAGATTATACTGGAGAGTTTTAAAAAAAAATCCCAGGGAAATATCCCAGGCAAATTATTTATTTATTCATTGCTGCTAAAAATAATCTAAGATTAAATTCATGAAATCACCAGCATTACTCTATATCGCAGCAGCACTACACAGCAGCCATGAGCAACCACGCTCTCAAGCAGCCGCCCAGCAACCCCCCTTTCCAGCCAGGCAACACAGCTGTTTGACCCTGAGGCTGTGCCTGGCTCTTCGGGAGCCCGCTCGCAAGAGAGCAACTGCCCAGCAATCCCCCTCTCCAATTGGGCACAGCACCACTCCCTAGTGGTATCCCCAAGGCACCAAGCAATGTGAGCCTTTGCCCCCCCCCCTGTTCCTGTGGCTTGGTGCCTTCGGGATACCACTAGGTCAGTGAGTGGCGCTCTGCCTGGCTGGAGGGGGGTGGGTTCTCCAGGGGGCTTATTTTCGAGGGAAGGCTTACATTTTTGCCCACCCAAAAAATGTGTCATGGTCTTATTATCAGGACATGTTGTATTTTCAGGGAAACACGGTACATACATACATACGTACATACATACACACACACACACACACACACACACACACACACACACACACACACACAC